TGAGACAACACTCCTCCAATTCCGACATTACTAGCATCACAATCCAGTATGTACGGCAGTGAGGGATCTAGAAACTTTAAAAGTGTAGCAGTGGCCAATTTTTCCTTCAACGTCTTGAAATAATGCTGGCAAGAAACTGTCCATTCAAACTTCTGGCCTTTTTTAGTCAAATCATGTAGTGGAGCTGCTATAGTTGCAAAGTCCTTCACGAACTTCCGGTAATAAGTACAGAGTCCCAAGCAACTTCTTAGCTCTCCCACATTGTCTGGTGATGGCCAGTCACGCACCTTGTCAGGATCAGTTTGCACACCATTCTCACTTACAATGTGGCCTAAGTATAGCACCTCTTTCTGGAACAAATGACATTTCTTGGGATGGAGTTTGAGGTTTGCTGCTTTCAAACGCTTGAATACTTCCTCCAGCCGGGACATTTCCTCGTCAAAAGTTGTTGTAAATACAATGACATCGTCCAGATACACTAGGGCTATCCTCCATTGTAGGCCTTCCAATACTCGTTCCATCAGCCTCTCAAATGTTGTTGGAGTATTACTGAACCCGAATGGCATCACTCGGTATTGCCAGAGACCTTGGCCATAACTAAATGCTGTCTTGGGTCTATCTTCTTCAGCCATCTTTACTTGATGGAAACCTGACTTTAAGTCTAAAGTTGAAAAACACCTGGCTCCACTTAGGGCGTCAATAGTATCATCAATTCTGGGCAGTGGGTATGAGTCATTTTCGGTTATGCTGTTAAGAGCCATGAAGTCCACACAGCAACGTTGGGTCCCATCCCACTTCTGACACCAATTTGTTACGTCTCCGTTCGTTAGTTAATTTTCCGTAACTTCGTTCCAACGAAACTTTAGCGACACAAGTCCTTTCTTAAATAAAACTGGTTTATTCTTTCCGAATACAACTTTACGATACACTTAATTTCAACAGTTGCTCTATAACAAACGCTATGAAGGACCGTTCAATTACACACTCTCTGACTTCAGTTCAATTACTCATTGTTCCGTCAAGTTGTGACCATCTTATATATACCATACTACCCCCAATCTAGTAGTCTCCCGATAAATCCCGAAGGTTCGAGAGGGACGTGGCGTGATACTAGTCACGTGACCCCGCTGACGCAACAGTATTGCAAAGTTGTATTGAGAAAGAATAAACTAGTTTTATTTAAGAAAGGACTTGTATCGCTGAAGTTTCTCGGGAAGAGTTTCTACGGGAAATTAATAAACGACCAGAGACGTAACAATATGAATATTGGGCTGTAGGTTAGTGAGTTTGTGTCTCAAGTCCCCGCGTTCTTCGACGTTGAGCCTGTTTCTTCAGAAGACCATTCACATGGTTAAATCTAGCTTCGACGGTGTACGAACTTGGAAAGGCGTAGGGAGGTTAGTTGCTTAGGCCAACCTTACCCTAAAGACCATTTTCGACCCCTAGGTCTATATTCACCCCTGAACAGTCTCATCGACCCCAGGGGTTAGATATTAACCACTTTAGGAACCCCTACTCTAGTTTTTCAGTTCAATATTAAGGACAGTTATGACCATTATGTGCAGATGGCTCTTAGTGAAGCTTTAAATAGAAATTCTGAAACAGTAGTCCACGAAAACTTTTCGTAAGGTAATACAATTTCTTAAGTTAAAGTGGATATAACTCTAATAAGTTTCTTTTCGTACCAAGTAGAAGACAAAATATTACAAATTGTCATGATAAACGCAAAGAGCTCATATACTAGGAAGACTCCTATGAATAAGTTTGCAGTAAGTCTAACAACAGTTATTAAAATCCACTATGTTTAGGAATATAAAAATCAATACGGTATATTGAACTACTATTGTATACCAATTTAACTCTTCTTAGCTTGGTATTTTGCATTCTGGAATAATTAGTGAAAGTTTAATTTGGAGGAGAAGATAAAGGTGTTTGAGAAGGGAGGGGCACTCTTGGATCATAGTATTAGCTTAATGATATATAGACCTAATTGTAATTATATGTGGTACAGGACTGTACCGTATCCCTGCCACCCTTTAGTTAATGCATACATTTTTCGAAATTTCTGTTTTTCTTTCAGTTCAGTTTGGATGTAAAGAATTGTTCAAGTAAGCAACTCAATTTTTCCTTGCTGTAGCTAAACATGGGAGCATATAGATTCATTAATTGGTTGTTAACCGTGTAAGACCTAGAGCTTGTTTTGGGTAATTTGTTGATCACGATGATGTTAGATCAAGAAAGTTCATACAAATAGTCCTATAATGCCTAAAAAGTTCATGATGGCGTAATTAGCTAGAAATTTCGTGGAAATTAGAAAAACGAGTGTATGCTTTCAATAAAAGTAACCACTTTGTTAAGATTCAATGAGAATTCAGTAAAGTATATAGTGGGTGATTCAGTTCAGTGTTTGTAATTAGAGTTATTGTGCCTTTTAAGATCGATCAATTAGTAAAGAAATTCTGTAATTAACTATATTTGAGAGTTAAGCATACAATAATCTCGAAAGTTCTGTTCAAACATTGTTTGTGAATTTTAGGCCTACAACTTGTGTCAAAGTAAACATAGCCTGTAGCAAACGTTATAAAAGAAATAAGGTAATCCGTTATCATTACGTGGTCTGAACATGATATTATTTTTACCAAATCATCCAAAAGAACCAGCCCTACGATAGAATACGTTACAACAGTACTAAATGTTTGATGTTACTTATATAGAGAAAATGTAGAAAAAACTCTAAAGAAATTATCTTTATAAATTCTGCAGAAATTGTATTCTTGAATGAGAGAGTATGACATTACATACACAATAAAAATAACATAATTTTTTTCAGAAAGAAGGCGCTACTCACGTCATTGCTTTTCCTAGGTGAAAATATGGAGAGTTTAACCCTCAGGAATTTCTAAACTTAAACACTTGTTTCTTTTGTTATTATGTAAAAAGCTACAAAATGGACTATCA